ATGACTATATACTGTCTGGCAATAAAAATACAACAAATAAAGATAAGACGCTATCTCAAAAAGGAAAAGCTTTACTGGCCTTTATCACCGACTTGATTGCATTGCAACACAGTCCAAGCCCTTTGCCTACTGCCAGAGCCCAGGTAACAGGCACCCCTCCACCGTTATCTGCTGTGACCCAAGTCACCCAGGGACCTAGTGATACTCTTGTGTACATCCTGAACCTAGTGATCATTTTACATTTTTTCTTTGACATTGCAACAATTTTGACAGCCCTCATCAGATTCATTTGAAGGCTTGCCTGCCTCCCTCTCTTGGATACTCTTCCTTCCCTCTGGTCTTTTCTCTTGGTGCCTCTCCCCTAGGACCCCTTACTTCCACCCAGGTCTACTCCTATGTAATCTATCCCATTTCATTCATCAATACCTTTAGACTAGATATTCCAAATTTGATGCTCCATTTCAGATGTGTTTTTTGAACTCCTGGTTCGGAACTCCAACAGCCTGTGATACCTCCACTTGGAAGCTTCTAGAAATTCAGTCATGGAGTCTTCACAAAGGATTTATGTACACACCCACACTGTCCTTATGTTTACATTTATTGGGGCCTCCTTCGTGGCCAAGGGTTTAAGTCTCAGCACTATCACTGCAACAGCCTGACTCGATCCCTGGCCAGGGTGCTGACCCATGTGGCGCAGCAGATCTTTCCTGTCTTGCCTGCTGCTCCCCTCAGCAGTGGATTTCAGTCAATCTGCCTGCTTGCCTCCCAACTCTATCGCTAGTGAATCTTTCCCCCACCCCTCCTCCCACTTCTGGCTTACAGCTCCATTCTTCAACACAAAAATAATATTAAAAAAATTTTTTAATTAAAGTAATAAAATCACAACCCACATGCTTCATGAATGTGAAACTATTAAAAGGTTAAAATATATGTAGGTTTTTTCCCCTGACTCTGAGCTATTCAGTGATAGTAGTTCAGCTTCAAAGCATTCTTGAATTCATGTTCTCAAAAGCTAGGTCAAGTGTTAATTTTGAGCCCAACTAAACAGGAAAGATAATAGAGAAAGAGGCCTATTTTCTGACTTTGTACTCACTGGCAGAGGAGGGGGGAGCTGTCCCTGTGGCCCCCATCAGGCTGGGTGTCCTTCCTGTGTGAGCCACGCGTAAGCAGATAACAGGCCTGCTCTATTTTCACTCCTCCACGTTGCTTTTTTTCAGTTAGATGGGAAGAAAGTAGATACTGAGTGTCACTGTGGTTTTGACTGGTTCATTTGATCATGGACCCAGTGTACTCAGCTATGGTCAGTACAATGACCAAGGAGAAAACACCTGGGAGCCAGCACCTCTGCCCAGAGACTCTGTGCTTCACAAGTTGATTTGTACCTGGGAGCCGCCCCAACCCGCTATTGAAACAGCATCTCTAGGGGTCATCTGGTCAGCACCCCAGGTCATTTATGACACTCTTGATGTTTCTACTGACTCTGGGGAACGTTTGTCCTAAGGAAAGGAGGCCAAAATGAAGTTAAGAGTTTTGAGCAGCTGCAAAGTTCAGGGAAAGTAAAAAGAACAATCATTTGCCAGGTGACTCTCGTGTCAAGCTGAAAAATGATTTCGAAATCTTTCCTTATGGATCTTCGCCCCCACTCTTTCCTATCATTTTTCGTGAATCTTCTTAAGAGAAGAAATGAAAACATTTTTTACAAATTTATTATTTTATATGTGTCAAAGAACTGGGTTGTAGGCCAGGGGTGTGGGGACTGTGAGAGGACTCACCAGAAAAGAATGAGAAGCAAAACAAGCTGAAATCTACTGCTGGGGAGCAGCGAATATGACAGGAGAATCTGCAGTGCCCTGTGTGGGTCAGCTCCCTGGCCGGGGATCAAACTCAGGTCATAAAGGTGATAGCACTGAGACTTAACCTCTAAGCCACTAGGGAGGCCCAGGAATTTGGTTGAGCAATAGGTGAAGACTGTTGAAATGAAGCATCGAAAAGAAAACCTGCAGGTCTAGAAAATAAACCAAGATTTGTTTTTGTGCATGTTAAGTTGGAGATGCCAGTTCAACAATCAGGCCAAGAGGTAAAATAGGCACCTTATAATTAGATGACATTTAAGGTTCTGGAAATGACCGTAGGAGGAGCTGAGATGAGGAAATGTTCAGAAAACACTTGAAAGTTTAGAGGCCAAGAGCAGGTAAGGACCCAGCAGGGGAAGAAATGATGCTCAATGAAATAAGTCAGAAGGAAAATGAAAAAATATTCGGTGGTTTCACTTACAAGAGGAATACTGGGAAACAAAACAAGGGATCAGAAAAACAAAAAAAGACAAAACTAGCAGACATCCAGTCTGAGACATCAAATAAGGGAAGGGGAGGGAGAGACGTCATATGAGAGGAGA